CATAATTTTAGAAGACATGTGAGAAAAATAGTAGACGCCATTGACGCCGCCACCACCACTAACTCAACTCATCACTGCCTGGGAAGCGAACTTGTTTTCTTGTCTTTTCCCTCATGGAAGAAGATGACCCTTTTCTCGCCACCCAAACAGGGCCCCAACTCCAACGCATTCCCGAGGAGAACCCCCATCATGGTTTCTCTTTTAGTATCCCATCAGAAATTCAAGAATACCACCCTCAGGTCGGAGACTCAATTGCCCAATTCAAGAAATCCGGTTCACTTCATCGCTGCAGAACAGCACCTGCCATGGCCGTCGTGCGGGACCTCAAGCCTAGAACAGCCCAAGTGCCGAAACCCCAGTCCGAAGCCAGCTTCATTATCAGGCAAGCTGTTTCTCTCCTCACAATTTACTTAGCACTTGGTGTGGTTATCTATACGTTTAATAGAGAAAATTTCTCCGGAATTGAAACCCACCCGGCCGTCGATGCTCTGTATTTCTGTATAGTCACTATGTGCACAATTGGGTACGGCGATATTACCCCTCTGACTCCGGCGACAAAGGTTTTTGCTTGCGTTTTTGTTTTGGTGGGTTTTGGGTTTATAGATATTTTGCTTAGTGGGCTTGTGAATTATGTTCTTGATTTGCAAGAAAACATGATATTGACCGGAATTCAGATGAAGAAATCGCAGCCGGGATTTTCGGCCCGGAATTACATCGTGGATGTAGAAAAGGGGAGGATGAGGATAAGACTCAAGGTGGGTTTGGCACTTGGCGTGGTGATACTGTGTATTGCGGTGGGAGCCTTTGTGCTTTTCTTCGTGGAGGGATTGGATTGGATTGACTCTGTTTATTTGTCGGTTATGTCTGTTACTACAGTTGGGTATGGGGACCGAGCGTTCAAGACCCTACCCGGCAGGCTGTTTGCGGCCATCTGGCTTCTGGTTTCGACGCTGGCAGTGGCCAGGGCTTTCCTGTATTTGGCAGAGGCGAGAATTGACAAGAGGCACAGAACAATTGTTAAGTGGGTGTTACAGAGGGAAATCACAGTTGAGGATTTGCTTGCTGCCGATATGAACAATGATGGTTTTATCAGGTTAGATTTTCTTCCTTCTAGCTTAGTTTTTGAGTATGATTGTTGTATTGTTGCTCAATTTGAAAGATTGCTCTAGATTATGGTTAACTATATTCTTATGCAACCATAGAACACCAAATCAATTAGGTCAATCTCTCTAATCGAGTCCAAAATGAGTCTTCCAAATAAGAGAATTCATGAGAAATTGTCTTCCATGCCTCTTTTAGAATCAAATGTGGTTTTATGAGGTGGTTCTTATATGTCGGGATTAGGGAATTTATAATAAGTAATTACCTCTCATACATACTTGCAAACTAGCATAATATATTGAAAAATGATTAAACTTTAATATATTATGCTTACAACATGAAGAGAATCTTGATTTGCTGCTACTAAGGACAAAGAACTTACCCGGAGAATAACGTTTCCAAGCAAAGAGGGATCAGTCTGTTTGTCCTAATACGCATTTCTTTAGTCATCCAACTTGTTGTATGAAATCATTGAATGAGTATTTTATTCATATTGAAAGATGATTTCAGCTCATCCATAGACGGTCCTATTCAGTTATATAGATTATATTATACACATTGCTTTAACTATTCAACTTGGCCAAGGATAAATCATGACTACTTTTGTCATTTTAAAATGATTTCAGCTCATCCATAGATGGTCCTATTCAGTTATATAGATTATATTATACACATTGCTTTAACTATTCAACTTGGCCAAGGATAAATCATGACTACGTTTGTCATTTTAAAATGATTTCAGCTGATCATATATTATAAGATAGTCCTTTTCAGCTATGCATTAGCTTATTGTCGTGAGCTGCACCATTATATAGTTTGTTCTTTTGTAAACCATGATTGTGCTTGAAGGGGCAGAATGTACTAATTTCCCAGTTAGCTCATGATGAGAATATCTTGGGCTAAGTTCTTTGTCTTTGAAATTTTTGTTTCAGTAAATCAGAATATGTCATCCACAAGCTGAAAGAGATGGGAAAAGTTGGGGAGAAAGACATATTGGAGATCTGCAACCAATTCAGCAAGCTTGACCCTAACAACTCTGGGAAGATAACACTGCCTGATCTCTTAGAAAATCGCTTGTGACAATGATAAGGATGCAGCATTGGCATTCTTTCAACTAGCTAGATTAGTAAGAATTTATGATCACATTCCTGGACAAAGTGTGTAATTCCACAAAATGCAGAACACCAGTGTCGTCGTACAATAGACTTTGCAGATTCATTGATGTTCCACAAAATGCAGAAGCTTAACAGACCGAATGCAATTTGACAACAAGCTTTTGCTTGAGAGGATATGCTCACGAAGGTTAGAAAATTAAATCCATACCTTACTGGCGTGTTTAGAGTCAATAGATGGTGTAGAAAGAGAAAGGGATTCAGATGACCATTCCATGAATTTTGAATTGTAAATTTGTTTGTGGTATCTGTTGCCAATGTATTCCTCCAAAAAATTCAATGAAAAGCGTATATATTGCTGAGCAAAAGTTTCTTACTTTGATTTTCTTTTTTTTTTTTTTCCCTTCATTTTCGTTCACTTGGCAACTTGGCGTTCATTTGGTTTAGGGAAAACTACTCCCAGAAAATAAGAATTTCTAGGCTAAACCCTTATTTAGCCCATTAACTTTTAACTTTTAAATTTCAAGGTTATTGGACTCAATTTAAGAACTTAAGGTATTTGTCCCTGACAACATGATTTTAAAGAATTTGTCTTTGTTAAACATATTTTAATCTTATATTCTTAGTTAAATGTTATTTCTATCTTAGTTTGTAACACAGTCAATATTTCTATTTTATTTTATGTGCACTTGCGGCCTTAGCCGCGATAAAAGTGCACCAGTGTCCTTGACTTCTTTGTCAAGGGTTCAAGCTGCCAGTGCAGCAGTTTTGTAACTATTCCCTCATCCCCCAAATTTCCCATTGGTCAAAAAAATATATATATTTCTATTTTATGTGGCATGTAACCATGGCAATCAACAAAATTTTCTCCTTTAATATAATACAGATCCCACTTTGATAAAGTTAAATTATTTATTTTTGTTGAGATTCTTAACATTTTTTTTTTCAAATAATTATGA